TAGTGTACATTTCAAAAATGTAATTTGCATGAAGTACTTTAAAGCCTTTGAGAATGGAGTCAACTGTCCACTTTGGTCTCTGCTCTGCTCAGACTAGCCATGAGCTCATCAATTTGATCAAATTCAACTTTATTTCTTCTAATGTAGGTCATATAAAGAGCTATCTAGAACAGGTAAGATATTAACTGTTTGTTGTGTTTCTACAAGACCCAAATTAAAATAATATTGAACTAGTCCTTAATTTGCTCTGTTCTATTTGATGATTTTTAACCCGTAATGTAAAAATTTAAACCAACTATTGAAGCCATTTATTTTCTTAATCGTTTGATGTATTTTCAATTCTGAATAAAAACTGATTTATATTTGTTTGCATTTTATTTGTCTATATCTTTGCAACTCTTATTTCCAATGAGTAAATGGCAAAAAAAAAAAAAAAGTATAGCTCGGTAAACGTTCATACTCTTTAAAGTCCCCTCTTGTTTTATTTATTTTTGAGATTAGATGTGAAATGCACCAGATATGGAGCAATGAAAAGATCTATAAAAAACAACATAGATGACCCACACATGGAACCTTCCATTTCAATCATTTCTAGGGTTACCTGGTTAGAACGGCCTGTCATTTATAACACTTTGCTCAATATTTATTCCATAATATCAGTCAGTTTTTCTCTCCAGTAATATTTTATATCAATTAATCCAACCTTTATTTAGACAGGTTAATCCCAATGAGTCTCGGGGACTCATTGTCAAGAGAGACCTGAAGGTTGGACTTGTAAGAATACACCTCGGCTCTATTAAGTTTTACACAGATAGGATGCCACTAAAATACTTTTTTAGTTGCTAATCCTGAGTTTTGTCTCAAAGTAAAGCTCTGAGAGCTGAGGGGGCTTGCAGCCCCTCATCTCCCAGCATCTTATAACTTCATCACTCTAAACATTTGGTCCATGCTCAGCTTGCTCATTGATCAGGAGTCAGTCCAAGTTTGTTGAAGGTACCCTCTCTTCACCCCCCTCCTTCTGTACCAGAGCTTTAAACATTCATATCGCTGATGTAAAAACAGAGAAGCTCTGAGATCATCCAGGAAACATGTCTGACATGGTTCATTAGAGATAAGATGAATCACTCACATTATATTCTCAGCTTTTCTGTCTCATCGGTGCATGAACGCACAGGTTCAAAAATAGCAAGCCATTAGCAACAAAAGGTTAAATTTGGTGCTTAATTTAAAAGAGCAGAAGACATGGGACATGAATTATAAAACATGTGCACGTGTGCTCCTCTGTTATCTGACCTGCAAGATATGTTTAATAAAAAAAGTGTACAACATGGGGAGGTGTTGTTTTATAAAGTGACACTTACTGTGACCTGAAACATAAATAACATAAAGAAGAAAATTCTCGACACACTGACTCAGTAAAAGACTAAACTGCATAACAATAATAGTAATAACACTTTTATTACTCTAAGTGCAGTGGATTATTATCACATTGTTATTATTCTGTGACCTGCATGTTTTAGAGTCCACAGCTTTATGAGGCAAAATCCCCCCAAAATAAAAAAAAAACTAAATAAAAATAAACACAATAAAAGTAAAACAGTATATTGAAATGAGAAGTTGTGGCCACTGTGGGTTGATGTTTTGCCACAGACCCCAAATGCAGCACGAGGTGGAGAAACAAGGCCGAGATAGAAGAGCTGAACTGGACAGAAACTTCTTACCTGGTCCCTCTGGATGCATGGCAAAGAGGTCCGACGATGGCACTTACTGTTGGCCTGACTGTGCGCCATGTCGGAGGCGATAACAGAACTGGACCTCCTGCGCCTTTTAAATACGGGGATCTCGTCCCTGGCTCCAGTCACGGGGGTGCAGCCCTCCTCGCGCGTCCCTTGTTTGGGAAGGAGCCTGTCAGCATACCTCGCCAGCAGGATGCCCAGCACTCCGAGCAGGTACGCCACGTACGGTCTCCAGGCGGCGCGCACTTTGTGCAGCGACAGGAGCGAGAGCGTCCGGACCAGGCTGATGAAAACGATCACCGACGTGCCCCGGTTCAGCCGCGCTACCATGAGTGCGCCAGCGGCCACGCACACGAGCACGACCACGGCCGCGGCGGTGACCGAGAGCAGTTGCTCATCCGTCCCGTCCAGAAGGGACCAGGCTGCGAATTCGCCCAGGTGGCACAAGGTCAGGAGGGAGAGGACGGTCTGGATCAGCACCCCGCAGCGGATCAGGTACACACCGACCCAGAAGAAGGCACATACGAGCGTGAAGAGCGGGGAGAGCGCACTCCAGCAAGTTTGCAACAGCTCGGCTGCGCAGCCTGAAACAAAGTGGAGGGGGGATGAAAGGGAGAGTGTGTGTTCAGCTCTGCTGCTGCTGGCCTCAGCTGCTCTCCATTCTGCACATGTGAGCAGCGCGGCCAGAACAACACACAGCGACCCCACACACAGCGCACTCCGGACGCTCTGGGAACTCCATATTTTTGTTAACATCAGCCCCGGCCACGTCTGGCAGTGTCGGTCACGGTGCTGTGGGGTGGCGCGTGTTTTCACATAACCATTGCGATCCGGTGCGCTGTGGGCTTTTTCACAAGTGCCGCCGCTCTGCGCACCGGTGCCGCGAGCTTCTGCAGACACCGCCATCATCCCTCCAGGCAGTTATGAAGTATGAGGAAGTCTATAATGTGCCCATGCGGGTGCTGTTATGGAGCAGCAACAAAATCAACATTAGTCCTTGCGCGCATTTTTGAAAACCGTAGAGCGAAAACGGACCTCTCCAAATTACGCATGGAGATGTGCTGCCAGGGAGCGCATGGTTCTGTGTGCTTCCAGATTTGTGATGAGCTGTTGGCTCAAAACGCTTCTTAAAAAGGAGCCATGATGACAGAGGCTTTACAGAGGTAGCCTACTGCTTCTTTGCGCGCGCACGTTCCTCTTTGACCCTTCGAAGCGCTCCGTCTCATTCACGTCTTCTGTCATTCTCTTTGTGGGCTCCACCACTGCCCGGGTCCGTGCAACAGCAGCGAAGCATCTGTCCCTTCCTGCACCCATTCAGGCAGAAACCATCAGTACGTCCGCTCTTTCAGATGTTGTTTTCCACGATATGACACTTTTCTTCCGCTAATTCCGAGGAAAAGACGCAGAAGAGGATTTAATCTGCTGGAGGGAGTGCGTCCGCGCGGCGGCTGCGTGGCGTTTTCCGGCAAAAAACAACGGTGTGCTTGCCTCCAACCAACCTCCAGTCTCGCGCTCATTCACACCCCCGAGTTCCCATACTCCACTCAGGGAGCAGCAGTGAAACCCCCCAAATCCTCCTCAGGAGCCCAGCAGGCGCAGTTCTCTATCAGGTTTAGTTTCTCTTCATCTCCTTCACTGGCTGTGAAAGTTGTTGGGTTAAAATGCATCAGTCTTTAATTTAACAAGAAAAATAGTCTGTAAAAATAAACATGTCTAATTAAGCGTAAATTCTCAAGAGTTGGGATGTTGTCTAAAACGTCAATAAAAACAGAATGCAATGATTTGTTAAACTCATAAACCCAAATATTCACATTGGACATATTAGTTGTTTAAACTAAAAAAAAGTACGTCTTAAAAATAATGATTTTTATGGCAACATGGAATCTAAGTGGAGACAGTGGCATGTTTACCTCTGAAGCTTCCCTTCTTCTTTTAACAACATCTGTAAACAACTAGCTGAGCTTTGTGGGAGCGTTGTCCCACTCTTGTGTGATGGATGATTGTTCAACAGACCTGGCTCTTGTTTCCTGATGTGTCACTTGTTTTCAGGTGAGAGGTTTAGACTGCAGGCGTGTCAGTCAAGAACCCCGGACTCATCTACCATGAAGCCATGCTGCTGTTACAGATGTTGTGGTTTGGCATTAACTTGTAAAAAATTGCAAGACCCTCCTTGAAAAAGATTTTGTCTGAATGGAAACAAATACAATATTGTTCTAAAACCTCTGGGAAGTTTTATACAGTGATGGTGCCTTTCCAGATGTGTGAGCTGCCCATGGACCCCCATACCATCAGAGAGGCAGGCTTTGAACTGTGTTCTGATAGCATGCTGGGTGGATCCTCTTCTCTTTATTATGGTTTGTCAAAATAATTTCAGAGGTTGATTTGTCTGACTACAGAACAGCTTTCCACTTTGTTTCAGTCCATTTTTAAATTAACTCTGGCCAAGAGAAGGAGACATTTCTGTGTTCACAAATGCTGTTTTCTTTGCATGATAGAGCTTTACCAGTTTGGCATGATTAACTGTGTTTACAAATACCCATTTGTAAAAAACATTCTTGAGCCCGTGCAACGATGTCCATGACAGAATCAGACCTGTTTTTAATACAGCACAACCTGAGGGCCCAAAATATTGATTTTATGCCTTGTTTATTTTGTTTGTTTGTTTGTTTTGTTTTGTTTGTTTTAGCTCAGAGCTTTCTCCAGATTCTTGACATTTTTTTTATTAATATGAACTGTATATAAAAGGATATTCAAAGTATTCTTAATTTTCCTTGACAAACTATTCTGAAATTGCTCCCCTAGTTTTAGAGCAGCCCTTGCAGACTAAAGAACCTCTGCCCGTCTTTATTTCTGGTTGATTTGGTCCCTCTCTGAAATGTTCTTATTCATTCAACCTTTATTTATACAGGTTCGTCTCATTGAGCCCCGGGACTCATTTACAAGGGAGACCTGTTTTTTGTTTTTTTTAAACAAAGAGTGATGACAACAGTAGACAACAAAACACAACCGTAAAAGAAAGCATACAAATTGAGAAGAGTAAATGAAAAAATAAAACAAAGAAAATGGTATTAAACAAACAAAAACATCTACATTGTAAAGTGATGTAAAATACTAAAAACGGGAACATGTCTGTGTTGGTCTTTGTCAGGAACTTAACAGATATTTGAAGCCATTTAGAGAGGTCAAGGTCGAGAGCTTCAGATCTTTTTGTAAGATATTCCAGGAAACAGGAGCGGAGTAGGAGAAGACCTTTTTGCCTAGTTCAGTCCTCACTGAGGGAACACTGCAGGTAATAATGTCCTGAGAGCGCACGTTGTAGCTGCACTCACACAGAGACATGCAGGAGGAGATGTATGAAGGCAGCAGACCAAGAAGTGATTTAAAGATGAAAATGTACCAGTGTCTGTGTGGACACTAGTTTTAATGCAGTGAAGCTAATGAAAAATTAACTAATGGTTCATTAATTAGTTAAATGAATAATGACTAATTAATTAATGAAATTAATGTGTGAAGTTAATGATGTCCAGTTAACCAGTGAATACAGGGTGCAGTGATGGGTACGGTAATTACAGCCGGTTATGAATCTTTTTGCACCATGATAGAGAGCATCCAACATCTGCAGGGTGCTTGTAGGAGCGTTCATGTAAATAATGTCACTGTAATCAATGGAGGGAAGAAATGTTGCAGTTACAAGGTGTTTCCTAGCATTCAGAGTTAAATAGGATCTATTTCTGAAAACGAAACCCAGTTTAACTTTCAATTTCCTCACCAAGTTTTTGACGTGGAGCTTAAAAGAGAGATGCAAATTGACCAAGATACTTAAATATTCATAGGAATCAACAAACTCAATAGGAACACCATTTTCATTCATTCAACCTTTATTTCTACAGGTAAATCCCATTGAGCCTCGAGAACTCATTTACAAGAGAGACCTGATTTTAACAAAGAATCATGACAACAATGGACAACAGTGACAACAATAAACGGTTATAAAAAGTCATTCTCCAGTTTAAAAAAAAAAAACAAATAGGATGGCTAAAAAAATTAAATTAAATTAAAAAATAAAAATTTTTAAAAAAGTAACAAACACAGCTAGATGCTAAGGTGAATGTAGAAAACTAAAAACAGGAACATGTCTGCATTGGTCCCTGCCAGGAGTCCAACAGATTTCAAGATAAAATCGAGGGAAGAACTGCTGGGACCGACTTCCTGTTTGAAAACAACATCCCTTTGGTTTTATTGGAGTTTAGTACAAGTTTGAGGCAGAACAAATCTGATTGGATGATGTCAAAAGCAAATTGCAAAAGCTGGAAAGCCTTAGCAACTGTTTCAGCTTGACAGTAAACAACTGTGTCATGAGCATAGAAATGTAAGGATGCATCAGGGATGCTTTGACCTACATTACTTATGTAGATTGTAAAGAGGGTGCATCCTAAGACTGAGCCTTGTGGTACACCATTGTTAGCCGTTAAATAAATGGAAGAAGTACCATTATGTTGAACACATTGCCTCCGATCTGAGAGATAGTTAGTGAACCAATCAGTGTGATCTGAGAAACCATTTTCTGTATTCAATATTATATCTACTGACCTGCTGTCACTCAATTTAATTTAATACTAAATGTTCCTCCAACTGTTTCTTATTTGTCTCACTTACATATGTTTACACCTATCCCTTTATTAACCTTTGTAAGATGTGTTACTGCTTTAAAAATAAAGATGACCTTGTATTGATGACCTTGTTTATAAACATGCTTAGATTTTGAGTACGATAGGGATAAACGTAAAGTAAGTTAGGTCGTGTCATATTTGGAATTGTTGCACTGGATTTGTATTTATTTATTTCTTTTGCAAGATTTCCAGCTTTTAAACCACATTTCCTGCTTTGACATATATTCATGCTTAAATGAGGAAAACTGTGTAGATGCAAACAAAAGAAAGTTTGCATGAAAAACAGTTTGCTTCCTGTGGAAATTCCCAGAATAGTCCCTGCAAGTTTTGCCTCCAAGTAAGGGTGACCTATAAGGTCTTGGCTCTGGAGGGTCACTGAAATATTTATCTCATCACAGCACTTTAGGTGTCACTGATGATGATGTGTGTCAGAGAGGAAGTTCGACATCAAAGTTTCATCAGCATATGTTAGTACATGTGTGTGTGTGTTCCCACAGATGTCCCGGTAATGCTCTCAGAATTACATCCTCAAAGAATGAATGGCTTACCATTCCTTGAAGGAATGCATATCACCCACCGCATTTAGTGCCAGAGTTTTAGACTAAGGCGGCCTTATCTTGAGAAGTTACAGCGTTTTAGGTCGTTTGGTCAAAACCTAAAAAAGTCACTAAGTTTTGTGAATGAGTTGCAGCAAGTACCACATCAAATTTGAGCTCAATATCTGTAAAACTAACTGGGTACGATCATTTTGTGTAGGCTAAGATCTATTAGCTTATTGTCTTTTATCCAAAATACTTCAAAAGGTAGTTAGATGTACATCTCATGGTAACTTACTGAACGTTCTATTAAAATCTTTAATGGTTCCTGCATAGGAGTCACATTAATTATGTGATGGGGACGTGTCCCCCTCACATTTGAAAAGTTTGTTTGGAAACTTTTCAATAAACTGTTGACCAGAAAAACAAAACAAAATAAATCTAACCTCTCTCAAGTGTATTTATCTGGAAATGACAGATACAGATTGCCCTAGTGTGCAATTATTATTATTATTACTACTATTTTTTTTATTTTTGCTTTTATTAATCTTCTTCTCTCCAGCTTTCTGGGGCCCCCTAATACCCCCTAGTGGCACCCCCAGGGGGTCACAGCCCCCACTTTGAAAAACACTGCCCTTGATTACTTGCTGGTGTGGGGGGAGGAGGGGGGACACCTCTTTGTTGTGCTAGTTTAGTGCCATGT